GGTAGTCGTTTACTACATAGCCAATGGCTCATTGACCACTACGATTCTTGCGGTGGTGTTCTTTTAATTACGAAGGTTATTTTCCAGTCAGTGAGTTCGACAGCTGAAGAAATTCCCATCATATCACCATGAATACGGTGTTTACTCTCACTTTTGGCCCATATCTTTATAAGCCCATCGCTATTTAACTATGTCTACGTAACTCTTTCGTCTTCCGTCTTCCTTTCCAGCGCTAAAAGTTTGTCCTGCTTGCGAATTTGTACATTAAATAATACACCGTTTCGAGCTTGTATGTGTTAATGCAATGCGAGTACAAATCTGCCTTCACAGAGTAACTTGGAAATGTTGTCAACATATCGAGATAAAACTGTGATCATGAGCTTCTTAGAAAATCAAACGTGTTTTGTATCATTTCCATTACCATTGTGTTTTATCTACAATGTATTTTGATATTGTAATTGTGTTTCTTCTCTTAGTACTCATATATTTTGTTACTGTTGTTTCATCGATACTAACTAGTCGGTCAGATGATGCTGATTATGGAAATGTTCGAGAGTTCAGGGAAGAGCCAACCCGATTTGAATACTAACTAAGCTTTCGCAATCATCTTCCTTTAGATATAAGGGTGATAATGAGAAACTCCAGGGATTTAGGTCTGAGTTGCTCTTGAACTACCGTAACCACAATACGAAACCAATGCCAAATGTATGTCGTTTGTTGAACGATTGTGTTACTAACAACGTCAAACGTGATTTCAGTGAATTCATCGACTTCAGAGAAGTCACTAGTTCCTTGATTTCAGTGTGAGTTGCTGTTACATTGTGGTATGACCGTGATGGATGTTTTCTCTTCTGTTTCTCTCACTCTCTCCTTTATTTGATATATTGCGATCATCCTTAGAAAATCTAGCGGGTAATTGTGTTGTTGTATCACTGTTTGATTTATATTTGTGAAAGATTTTATACAACTTGTGTAATAAACGGTGGAGTACATAAGTGATTAATCTGGTGTCTATGATTTGGTTGTGCCGGAAGTATTACTTGATGAAACGACGAAGTCAATACCGTGTACGCTATAAGTATTATAAAGTAAAGGAAGCACAGAAACCAACCTGCGATTAACCATACGCACCTCTGCGTATTGTGTCCAATGCATTGTTCTTTTCGACTTTTTCTTTTGTAGCACAGAGATTTTTTTGCTATACCTTTCGTGCTCAGTTGATAGCTTCTTCATCGCAAACTGAAGCGAGACCAAAGTGGCTATTTTCAATACATAATATTTTGCAAAGAAACCGTTTTCCGGACGACATTGTTCGTCTGGTTCGAATTCCATGGTGGGTGTTGGCATCTCTATTGTAACAGGATCCTGGAGTTCGAAGCTTAGCGACACTTTACCGATATTTGAGGTGATAAATAAATAAGAGGGCGCGTGTGGCGCAGTGGTCGGAGGCGCCCTGCAACACACATGGGAATCGATCCCCGCGCCCATGGCTTATCAAGCCTTCCATCTCTCCGGGTTCGGCAAACTACACTCTTCGTAAGACGATGAGCTTTCTAAGTAGCGACAAGACAAGTTGAGAAAGTTTCTTGCACCGACCGAGTCTTGTACTAAGCGGTTTTTCATGCTTTTTGGCCAATCTCGAGTTTCCATGGTTTGTCGACTTCTCATCACAGCGAAGAGAACACGGCTGTTTTTTGACGGAGGTCTTTTCTAGAAGTTAACTAGCCGATAGGGAGGGGAGGGGAGGAGGTGTGGGGGGGAGGGTGTGGGAGAGAGGACTGCATTGTCACTGAGACGTCTTATTTATACTTGCACTCAGAAGTTATTCATACCAGTTTTCTGAGTAAGTAGGAATACCGAATTATAGTGCTAAAAAACGCAAGAAGTATAACTGATAATGTCCTGTTGACCTGTTGGGTAGGTCGTGTCGGATCGCATTGGTTTCAATGCACATCCTGAGCAGCGAAAAACTAGGCGTGCCATGTGGTCGCCACGCGAGAATAGTTGTTGCGAGGCTGTGCTCACCAGTTATGCCGAAGGATGCCAAACATCAAAAAAGCAGCGTTAACAGGTATCTGGGAACAGCTTGCTAACGCGTCATACATAACCCTAAGTGCCGGATCTTTGTCGCTTTATGAATATGAATGGTTTTGTTTAGTACAAATTACTATGATCCGTTTCGCAAACGCATTGTTATTATCATTTGAATAGCTTCCAGTACCAGCGCATTCCATGCAACAGCTATGATTTGTCATAAAGGATGAAACTGTTGTGGTTGATCAATCCCTGAAGAGATGCGCCACGCATTCGACTTCATTAAGCATCGTTGGAGGTGATTGAACGCATATTTGGCCTTTACAGTGACTCGCAGTGGCCTGCAGATGTATCGAGCCAGTGCTGCTATCCTCTCAGACAAGTCTGGTACCAATTGACCGACCCCGGAAGGATGGAAGGCTTGGTGAGTCTGGGCCGCGAGGAGCGATCCCATGTGTATTGCAGGGCACCTGCGAAAAAGGGGTTCCTATAAATCGTTAAGCCTAGAGAAAGCCGTTTCTGGTTCCTCTCCTATCTTGATCTATTTTCTACTAGCTTTCGAATCAACATGCATAGTGTGGCGGAAAAGTTCTCTAATGCAGTAAACTGAAAATGAACACCATACGCTCAAGTCGCCCACTCGTGCAGCCACGTTTGAATGTGTACGTCCCGGTCCTCCACTGTTTGTTGTAAATGTCAGATTCTTTCTGCATCGCTTTTAGGAAAACTATTTCCTGTTTAATAATTCGATGTTTTTCTTCAATAAGCAGACACGAGGATTACGATATATATATTATAGGATTTATTAGGATACAATAGCTGACGTTTCGGTGGTTTCGCCTTCTTCAGAGCCGTTTATAAAATAAAATAAAATATAAAATAAACGGCTCTGAAGAAGGCGAAACCGCCGAAACGTAAGCTATTGCATCTTAATAAATCCTATAATAACAACCTCGTGTCTGCTTATTGAAGAAAACATCGAATTATCAATCAATGCCGAGGTTAAAAGAAAGTCGGTCGTGGGAATTATTTCCTGTTTGTTTGGGACTTCCCAACACTACTTAATAAGGTCGCCCTTAGTATTTTTGTCGTCATGAGTCTTGCAGGTATTCCTTGATTGCTTCACCAAAGGTGACACACCAGTGTTGTTGAGTGGTTGTGATTGCTCTGAGGCTATTTTGGACAGTTGAAGTTGAATTCAATGCATCGAATCAATGACTAGACTTAGTTGCGAACGTGTTCATGGATGATTCACATTTTATATGGGACATGTACAGTTACGACATGTGCCGTGTTGGTCTAAAGATGAGTTTTGTATCAGCTTGAGAATGTGGCTGCAAATTCAGGTCCCTTATTTGAATTCTGCGAACAGTTCCCAGGATCGACTTTCTCTTAACCTCGGCATTGGAATATGAATATGTCGTTTTCTTGTTCAGCAATCGCGAGGTTTCTAAACAGCATACATTTACTTCCATAAAAAACAATACAATACAACGCTAGCTGACGTTTCGGCAGTATCGCCTTCCTCAGAGCCTGGAAGGGTATACTGATATATTATCGGTGTCGGTATAATCGGTAGCGATAGTTGAAACACCACCGGCTACTCTACGTCGCCAATTAGTTCGCAACCGCCTGTATGTGTCTGTGTGAAACAACAAATTGCGTAATTTGCCCTTACGGCAAGGACGGTGTTTGCATGAGTTCAGGTACGATATACCTGATCTCGTGTAACAATTGCGGAGATGAATATATTGGCGAAACGGTAAGACCTTTGTGTATCCGTATAAAAGAACACCTAGATGGCAAGCGAAAACTAATACGAAGCACCCCACTAGGCACGCGTAGGATACAAAAGCATAGCGGAGACGATTTTGAAGTAAAAATCAATATCCTTGCACAGGAGTCCAAAACACCAGCGCGAAAACTCCTTGAGGCTTTTTGGATCAATGCCAAAAACCCTACAATGAATAGCAGGGATGAATGCCCGGAGGTCATACGTGACCTGATCCCGTACGTTCGCATCGATTTTTGATGTGGGATGGTGCAGTCGTCAACTACATGCGACTATAATCAGCTGTTCTAAACTTCCTCATTGGAAGTCACGTAAGAAGCGGCTCTGAAGAAGGCGATACTGCCGAAACGTCAGCTAGCGTTGTATTGTATTGTGTTTTTTATGGAAGTAAATGTATGCTGTTTAAAAACCTCGCGATTGCTGAACAAGAAAACGACACATTCTGCGAACAGTTTTAAATCGAGATGTGCAAAAATCACCAGCATTGTCATGATTACTAAACATTCAGAAACAGGGAGATGGTCAGTATACGAGTGTACCGGGCAATTTTACCTCGCATATATAGACGAAGTAAGTTCATCATTTTGGTCTTCGTTTATAAAAAAAGAGTGCTAAAGATGATCGACGATATTCGACATTGTATAAACTGTTAGTGACTTACTGGTAAAGTGTAAGCTGTCGACTTACTTTCTTACACTTTTTTAAAATACTTTGTATCTTTACTACTTTTGTTAGACCTCGAATTTGATAATGAGTGTCTTGGCTTACTTATGAGTTGACGCGAGCATTATACTAAGTCGCTTCCCAACGGTTTACCGTCGTGGTTAGGAGGTGTTCTTAGGCAGCGGACTGCGATGTACGGCGGGGATTCATTCCTTGGCAGCGTCTCCCAAGCTGAGAAGGAGTCAGGCGTTTCCATCAGGAACCCTAGCTAAGAGTAAACCAATACCAGGAGCCACCAACGTCTTGGTGTTAAAGTCTCATACTAGAAACAGTTTTCTATCCGGGTAGGGAAGGAATAAGTGGCGAGTTCGTTGTGGCGGATTGAACCAGCGACCGAGCCACTGTGTATTGTAGAGCATCCCTAACCACTGTGCTACGTGCCCTCCACAAAGATTTATAGATGGCCAAAAATAACTGCTGTGGACATTTGATCCGAATCACTGCGGTTCTAAAGAAGATTGGGATGATGGAACGTTAGTAAAAAAAAAGATTTTTGCAGCAGTTTTTTGTAATATCATGAATAAACCGGGGCATTTACATCGTTCTGAATCCAAGAACTAAGGTCGACTCGGTTTTAAGACTACTCCATGAGGTAATAATATTTTGAGTGCTCGTCAAGGTCCGTAAAAGAATAAGTGCTTTTGAAATTGTGTGGTCAAGTAATTTGTTTTTTAAAGTTTGTGGAGTTTTGAGGACAAGTTTTGCAAATAATAGGGTATTGTTTAAGGTTTCTGTTGTGCAGTTTCGCAGAACGATTACGAAAAAGCAGCTGACGAATCATTGGAAAGGTGTGTGTTTCTAACTTGACCTTTTTCCCAACTCCAGGTGTAACTCGTGCGGTAGTGGTAACAGTGACTACTACTATGGTGTCTGCGTAATCTTTATAGTGTTTGCTATGTTTGTAGATTACTGGTGTCGGCTTGTTTTAGGCTTTCAACATACTTAGATGCTCTTTCTGATAAGCTTCCCGTTCCTTCTGAATATGATGTTAGCCACGCAATGGGTGTACTCACAGTTGTAATTAGCAAGGAGATAGGTTGGTCGTTTGTATTTTATCTTTTTCCACTTTTTGGAGGTTAATCTAAAGTTTCATGTGTCTTAGAACCAACCATTACATTAGAGCTGTTTCCAGGCTAGCAAATTAGCAACGAAATGCATTGCTTTCAACGTATTTGCTTCCCTGATATTTGTTTTGTCGCAGGAGTTTTTGCTGTACTTTGTCAACTGAATTAGTAGCTTCCTATTCACAGATGTTCGAAAGCCATGTGGGGGAGTATCGCAGAGGTTGTTGCTACTAAGGAGATTGCACAGCCAACGAGAGCACCACAAATAATGGGGTTGCTAAGAGGTTTTGTACTGACGGACTAGCAAAATTGCTGTTCTCATTGAGGACGGTATACATAGGAATGTCTGCAGACTAACGGAAGGTGCACGACGGACAGTATGCATAGAGTTTAATGCACATCATGCGATCATTTGACCAGAAATTATTCGTCCTCCTATGTTCTTAATTATGTTCTTGCCACACAAAATTAGTGCTGGTCATCTATGCGTTCATTCAAAGGTAAATTCTGTTCCGAACATTTAAAAATATTTTCCTATCGAGATACTTAATTGATCCCTCTTCATTTGTTATGCCAGTTGCAACACCTTTTCCACTCATTCCATTGTTTTACAACCGTCATGCACAAGAGTTGGACTCGTGCACTGGTTCGACAACGATCTGAAGATGTCATCTCTTCATGGATGCATTGAATGGTACATAGATTTACCCTCCTTCGAAATTCTTACCAGACCTTTCTAGGGCATCATTAGGTATTCACCCCTCAATCACTGATCTTTATAAATTAGTGACATTTTACTCCTTACGACTTGGATTTCTTGAACAGCAGCGATTTATGTGATGGAGGTGACTGCTGCGATTATCGATCACTGTTTTGGGTATGATGAAAGAAATCGAGTAATTTAACGATGGCTGTCATATAGTATCTGCAAACGATCTCTTGTCTTTCTTTAAATTTTTTCATTAGCATATTTTTTCCTGTTCTTATAGCTACTCCGCAAGGATTGTCGCCATTTATATTTTATCTCTGTATTAGCTTTTCCACATTATAATACTTGAATGACCTGTTTTATTACGCTGCTCGATATTTGAGAGCATTCCGTGGGCATAGTGGATTAACAGGGAAACACAAGGATAGCAGTCATGATATTGTTTGGGGTACAATTACTGATTCCCAAGAAATTGATCTCAATCCTTAACACAAAGGCGACTACGCTTAATTTTCTACGGTAGCCGCTTAGAGCGCACGCGGTTTGTACTGAAAAGGTTTTGCCGCGGGCGGTTTGAAAAATTTGTCCTCAGGAAGGTTTTCTGCTCTTAAATTTTTTCAATTATTAAATGCAAAGAATAGCTTTTCACAAATAGACGTCTGGGATAACATATATATCGAATTCGAAAAGTACAACAGCTAAGTTCTTTGCTGAAATAAACACTCGGAAAGATTATGTATTGAAATTAATGCATACGGTCTGATATGCCCACCATATTTACATGTGTGTATATATATCAGTGTCAGGTTATTTGCTCGCTTATTTATTAATCTTTACCTTAGGAACGTATGTAATTAACAAACAAACTCCAAATCGTCAGTTATGGCTATCCAGTCCTGTGTCAGGTCCAAAACGATATGATTTGGTGGACGATCGGTAGGTTTACTTTTTATTTTCCGCCTGCTACAATTTTCACACCAGGCTATTATGAGGAACACAACCACAACGATGCTGAGATATTTGCAAACCTAACTGAACCCAGTTAAGCCAACGCCGATATGGGCTCCCCAGATCAATCCTATCGACGGGTGATAGCTGATGGCACTGATCGATAGAACTAGCTGAGAGACAGGCGAAGCCAAGGGCCCACATAGTGTGGTGGTGAACGCGTTAGCCCCCAGAAAGGGTAATAGTGCGTTCGTTCCCCACTGCGGACACCTACTGTCTGGCGTTTTGCAAATATCTGAGCATCGTTGTGATCGATAAGTTTCTTTATTTTCATCTTTGCTTATGGAAGAGAGTTGAGAGCTTTCATAGTATTTGAATAAAATTTGTATCTTGAATGCTTTCGAGAATTACGGTGTGTGATACGAACTGTTAATTTTTAGGTGGATTTACAGTCATGACAATGAGACGTTGGATTCGCTACTTACGAGGGAATTCAGGACAATTTTCGTCACTGATGATATTGATTTTCGGGGCCATATTTAAGTCATGTATGGTAAAGTTCATTGCATAAAATATTTGCATAAATAGGAATCATATATCCGAGATATATAACATGAATGACGTGTTTTCAAAATGTCCTTGCTTGACCGCTCTTTTGTCTTTGCGTTTTATTTCTCGAAATAAAAATCTCTAGTTATTGTGCGATGAGAATTACTACTTTGTTATGTGGTCCGTGTAGCGCAGTGCTCAAAAGCTTCCTGTAATACACACGTGGTCGTTGGCTCGATCCCGAGCGCTGTGTTTAACAGGCACTCTATCCTTTCGGACTTTGGAAATCAGTATTAGCCTTTGTTTTAGGATTAAAATCTTGACTTGGTACATCGGTAGGGCACCACAAGTTATTCTGTAGGCCAGATATTCATTTAAACACCTCTACTATGTTAAGAGTGGATTTGAATATATTACCCATGATTAAGAAATTCATTAATGCGGAATGGTCCTTTGTCCTTTATGTTTCCAAAATATACGAGTGTGTTAAAAGATGGCGAAATCCTTATTGATCATACATTGGCGCCACAGCGACAGTTAGCAAAGCTTCGTTATTTCTGCTATCTTACAACCGAACACTAACTGACATACGGTCGAAAGGTATTCCTGTAACAGAAGAAGGACCACTTATATAATTAGTTTATTTCTATCGAAGTCTAATAGCGGTAAGGCTCATTTTTTACCCATTTATTATCAGACAGGCAGTATCTTCTGGTGAAGATAGGTAAGTCCTAGTCCTTCGCACTACGTTTGCACCATAAACGTCAGAGAGAAGTTCTGCGACTGAAAGGTCGAGAAGTACAAACTTTGTAGGATGAGGTCATTGTTCTGATTATTGTGAATCGAGTTACTCGGAAAAACGTGAATCGTTGTTGAGTCGCAGGCATGTGGTGAAGAACTGTGAACAGTCTAACACGCTTATCTTAGGAATGGAGGGGAAATCACGTTGAACCAGTACTCATAATATCAGTTAGTGTTAAGATAAGAAATCCTCAATCAGCAGTCGATTCAACGTATGACTATGAGTACTTCCATAGATTAAGACTGCAGGGCAACGGAACGATAGGACGTGCTGGTATCGGCAAAGTATGTGAAGGCGGGTCACTTATGTATCTGTGTACGTGTATATGCCTTTGTGGTAGTAGATATATATGTGAAGAAAACATCACAAAAAAGCTTTGCCATTCATACACGGTTCATATTCATTGCGATTTCTAAGGGGAGAGACGATCTATGGTTATGAGATGCTTGTTAAATAATTCGAAAGATGTGCTCACTTTCACCGCTTCCTATTTCAAAACGTGTGGTCGGGCTTGATTTTAGTGCAATATAAGTAACCGAAATCCTGATGAGGTTCCAGCTAGCGGAAGAGCGTAAAAGAACTGTTACTTACTCTTATACTTGGACTGATTGTCTTCAGGAGTTGTGCAGATCCTAGCATATTTTCCATCAGTTTCTTTGTTTCTCAATCGTCGACCATGATGGTGGATTGATTCTGGTATGGTGAGAGATGCGAGTGTACTACCACTGTGAAACCTGTGAAACCATTGCACCTGCGAGTACAGCTGTTTGACTCTAGTTGCAAACAAATCTGCCCAAAGTGCAGGTGATCGTTCTGAGCACACCTGCATCCTCATAGAGTCCATGCTACAGTTTTTTCGTCCATCTGGCGTTTGTTTTTCTCATTAGGTGACCAGCCTATCTATGATTCGCTATCAGTGTCTGTTCTTCTGTGTCTGAGAGATGAGATAAATCTCGAAGATGGAACGTTCACATTCCGGCTAATTGTCGTGCATGTGTAATTATTTTAGAAGACATCGTTCAAGCGCTCTGTGTGTGCTGCTCAGATTTCTTGACGTGTTTGAAGTATCGCCTCATGCCTCTGTTTCATAATAGAGCGTTGGGAGGACTGTAGAATCGTCAAGGTGAGTGCGGATTTTCGGGTCATTTATTTGGTCGGTCGCTTCTTTGAGAAGCCAAATGCGGCCCATGCTGTTCTCTTTCTTAGAAAAAGACTTGGAAACTTACTTGGATACTTGGGAGCTCCGTCCTCACTGGCTGTGTGGATCTCAGCATAATCTCCATTTTTTGGAGTTTTACTGGTTTGGTCATTGTGTTTTTCTAGAGTCCCGAGATCAGCCTGGCCAAACTGCCCGAGATGGTCACCGTCACAGGCAGTCGCCGCCTTTGTAGATCAGAGTGAGATTTACCACCATGCGACTTTGATACCAGGACGGTGGTCGACCAATACCAGTATTGGTTTACTTTTAGCTTGGCTTCCTGGTGGAAGCGCCGGACTTCTTGTCAACTTGGGAGACCCTACCAGGGAATGAATCTCTGCTGTGCACAACGCAGCCCGACATCCAGGAACACCTCTCAGCTACGATGAGGCGGTAGTCCGTTTGGAGGTCGTAGAAAATAAGTTATTAGAAAGATGAGATTGTTGTAAGAGATCAGATAAAGAAACTGAACAAAAACGGATTTGGATTTGGAAAAGAATTAAGGTGATTAATTGTCTTGGCATGGCTAAATAAAGTTATTGACTACCAACTTCAGTAAAAGGCTATGAAGTACCTACTAAGATGTGGAATTCATAATGAAGAAGTTCTTCTCTAATGAAATCCATTCATAACCTCCCTGCCTGAGCCCAGTATTCGAGTTGAAAGAAAGGCTCTTCAAATAAATTCACAGCGTTCTCACAATCTAAACGTCTTCAAAAAAGAGAGAATCTATAAACAAATAGAGAACCTCCCACTCCACTGCTGCTCCAACAATTCCTTCCTTCGTTTCGTAGTCGACATCCCTCAAGGGGCGCGTGTGGCGCAGTGGTGGCAAGCGCCGTGCAACACACACGTGGAATCGGCAAATTGGTACTAAACTTGACTGGGAGGATAACAGCACCGGCTCGATACATAGGAAGACCACCGTGAGTCATTGTAAAGGCCAGATATGCATTCATTCACCTCTGAACGATGTTTCGTGAAGTCGGATGCATGGCGCATCCTTAAGGGATTGATCGACGTCGAAAGCTTCATCTTTATCCTTTTATCCTTCAATCAGAGTCGTATTTGAACAGAGTAATACAGTTTTCCTACGACAAGTTTTCAAAAAAATGTTAATATTTCTTTTACACTGTAACACAGTATTGCCAAATGAAATCTGATTCGTTCTTTTTTCACTATTTTCACTTTCGATATCACTTCTTGACTTGACAGCCTTTTCTATTCAGAGAGCTGCCACGGATCAAACTTCGCTTCTGTAATGGTATCTCGGCAAAGTCATACTCAACAAGCTCAATCATTTCCTATCCATCACGTTTCTGTTGGATGGTATTCGATCCAACAGCCTAAGCAGCATCTTTTGAAGCAGATACCTATCGAGGTTGTTGCCTGCTATTTATATCACAGCTTTTATATTGGTTACAATATTGATACTTACTTGGATACTTGGATGGCCCGTTCTCGCTGGTTGTGCGAGCCCCATTATAATCTTCACTTTTTGGAGATCTGCTGGTTTGGCCTTTGTGGTTCCCTGGAATCCCGAGGTTAGCTTGACTAATGTCTGCCTCAGTCCTTCACCAACACAGGGAGTTGCATGTTGATCAGAGGGCTTGTTGATCAGAGGGAGATTTGCCACCACGCGACTTTGACAGCGGTGGATCCTAATATTGGCTTACTCTCAGCCAGGCTTCCTGGTAAAAACGCCGGACTCACGAAACCCTGCCAGGGGGATGATTCTGCCCGCTGTAAATCACAGCACGACGCCCATGAACACCTCCTAGCCAAGATGAGGCGATAAACCGTTGGGAGTGGTTACAATATTATCCTATTAAAATACTGAGCGAAAAATTACCGACATAGTTACTCACATCCGTTATGTAGTTCCTTTGAGTCTTTGATCATTTTATAAAAAAAACAAGTCGTTCTTGCTCACATTTTTTTAAATCCCTAAAGGCCATTGCTGCGAAATATCTTAGCAAACGCTCTATCTGGCATTTTATCATTTTATCATTTGTAACCACGTCAATCATCGAATGACCCGTTTGACCACCCAAATTGGGTGAACAAAAAGCGTCACTTTTTTCTTTCATTTTCCTATTGTAAGGCGAGGAAAGCGTAGTGAACGAAGTTGTTGTAAAATAATACAAAAATTGTCGCCAACTCTACCTGGTTCGAGCAAACCAACTCTCCATCTTACCGACGTCGGCAAAATGATAGTAGAATTCGGTGTTTTCTTGAATAAGCAGAATATAGCACAGTATCTAAAGCTAGATCCTATAGAGAAACAAGTGAATAAAGCATAAAGCCGTATTTTTGCTTTTTTTCGCGAACTACCACCCTTTGGTTAGTTGCCCAGAGTGTGCTACCGATGCGGAGCACGACTGTGGATTACTTCTGCAGCTATACTTCACGTGGGGCTTTATTTGTTGAAGTTGTTTATGGACCACCTTGGCGTACAGTTCAGCCACGTAATTTGGCAAGCTTTTAGCCGAAGTACTGGACGTAAAGGATGAGGGGCGAAGCATTCGGTGCTGATCTATCCAGTAAACATCCGTCATGAATTCGACCTTATTCATAGTATTGTTGAAGTAAATGAAGGCAAACTGGACCTGTTTGATGACCTATGGGAGCTTACTGATCTCTTCAATCATTCTTTCAATCCTCCCAAATAGGTTTGATAGCAATTTTTCGATCGCTGAAGAGCATTAGTAATCACTTTGCTACATGTACTGGTACTGGAACTGGTTAACATATAAGGCATAAACCGGATGTATTCATCTACTTCGTTTAGTCCTTAGTATAAAGTATAAGTTACATTGATCTGGTAGAGACAAGCCATCTCATTGATTTATTTGCACGTAATCATAACTACAAGGAGCGGATAGCACAGTGTTAGTGATGTCCGACGTCGCGAGCATGGTACTAGTTCGATCCCGCTCCGGGTCAACCAAGCCTCTCATCTTTCCAGAGTCTGAAACTTGGTACCGAACTTCT